TTGGTTTTGTTTTTTTTTTTTTTTTTTTTTTTGAGTAGGAATATGTGTCTGAGAGATTGACAGATTATGTTGGCCTACAGAACCATTTCCTCTGCTTCAGTATGGCATTTGCGTACCGTATTCATGTCCCTCTCACATATAAATAAATGAATAAAGTCCGGTGGAAGCTTGCACTCATGCGTTATGTGATGTATGGTGTTAATATCTGCCGGGTGTGTATATGTGTTCATAAGGGCCAGAGTGACTGTGAGGGTCCTTGTTTGCTGTGTTCATAGTGGGAATCACCATGGCAACTGCACTAGCAGCGCCGTGTGAAGTGGAGAGGGAGTGCTTGAGTGTGTGAGGACGAGAGGGTGTCATCAACAGTGAGACACAAAGAAAATGAGAGAAGTAAAACCTAACACAAAATGGAAGGACAGAAAATTTTTAACAGGTTAAAATCACAGAATCAATTACTTCTCGTTTTTAAACGGCTGGTAAGTGGTTTATGTCAGGCAGTCACTTCATGGGTCCAGTGCAATGAAGAGTTAACTGTGAAATGAAGAGATTGAGAATAAAAGAAGGGAGGAGTGTGTGTGTACGTGAGCGTGTACTGAGCATGCTCCTCCTGCAGGCTGTCTGTGCGCTGTGCTAACTTCCTGTGCTATTTCTCTTCCTTAACAGACCGGCTGATTCAGAAGAAGAGAACTGCAAACTAGAGCACATGCATCTCAGCTCCGCAAGCAAGAGAATTTAGCGGAGGCAACAGAGGACGAGTCCTCGTAAAGGATTATGATATCTTGAGCAAGATTCATTTTTTACTAATAACTTGAACTTCCTAGTGGTCTTTAAACACCCTGTATTTAATTGACAGCATCTGTCAGTTTTGTAGTTCTTAACGTATTTGGGGTGCAACAATTTGCTTTTGTTTCCTGGTTTCTTTTCTTTTTCTATTTACGAGAAGATTGTTGGAGTGAAAGGACTTTTTTTCCCCAATCCTTTTCCATTTTGGCTCAATTAGTCTAGTTATCTTTCCGTTTATTGCTTAAACACGAATCCTTGTTAGAGTTAAGAGGAAGAAATTACTTCATAAATGGAATTTTCCCAACGGGAAAACTAACTGGAATTTGTAGAGACCTTGACAAACATTCTTTTGTGTATCGGGAGTGTCCGTGTCCTTGAGGTTTGGAGCTTTGTTGAAATCATTCCGTGGAAGGAACTGAGACGCTTCACACAAGCTCCTCTAACTCGCTGACCTCTCGTAAGGACTCAAGTAGAACATTACAAGGTTGTTCTTGGGAAATGGGATCTGAAAAGGACTCTGAATCACCCCACTCCTCTGTTAGCGGCATTCCCAATCCGAAATGCCGTGGGCCGGGCAAGAAGCAAGGAAGGATCTCTTTTCATAGTCTCTTCCATAGCAAACGTGGATCCAGGGGGAACAAGGCTAATGTGGGAACTCCTCTTGTGCAACAGCTGCACCAACAGCAACAACTCCAGCAACAGCAGCTTCTCCAGCCCCCCACACCTACCAATGTTTCATCAGACCCTTCTACGGCAGACCCGGCTGAACCTTTGTCCGCTAGCCAGGCCTCTCTGGGAGGTCAAGAACTCCTAGAGTGTCCCCTGTGCCTGGTGCGGCAGCCTGCAGAGCAGCTTCCTGAGCTCCTGGGATGCAGCCACCGGTCTTGCCTGTGCTGTCTAAGGCAGTACTTGCGTATCGAGATCACGGAGAGCCGAGTGCAGCTCAGCTGTCCGGAGTGCGCCGAACGACTTGCCCCAAGGCAGGTGGCCCTCATCCTGGATGATCCCAGCCTGATGGAGAAGTATGAAGAGTTTCTGCTGCGCCGCTGCCTGGCATCAGACCCTGATTGCAGATGGTGTCCAGCTCCAGACTGTGGGTAAGACTGCTTGGGATGTTAGGGAATTGTAAAATGTTTTGAATAGGAGATATATGGCCAAAATGTTGTGGACCTTCTAATTAATGAGTTTGCAAGACTCTAGGGAATTGTGGGATGTGGCAACAGTTTTGGGAGGGACACTTCTGTTCCAGTATTATATAACCCTGTGCACATAGTGAGGTCATTATACAAATGATTTACTGAGTAAATTATGTGGAAGAACTTGACTAGCCTAAAGCCCACATCTGGACCCCAGTGGAGATCTTTGGGATGAATTGAATCTAAAGGTGTAGGTTTGATTTGAAAGTTGGTAGGGACATATAGCAAGGAGGCAGGGGACAAATCTGAGATTATATATTTTTTTTAAACAAACCAGCGATTAAAGGACGTTGATCATATTCAAAATGGCTGTTTATTACATTGCATTGCAGAAAGAGGTCTGGAAATGTAGACAGATTAACATCCCCTCATATCACAACAGCCTCATTTCCTATTTTCTCTGCCACATAATATTAGATATGACTGCTGACCTATTGTGTTCCTGATATCTGAGGTGACCTCACTATGAATCTTCCCTTTACTTTTAACATTTAAATGTTATCCTGCCCTGTAGTCAGTGGTGGACATGGTCATAGGCGCGACATAGGGCGGCAACGTTTGGCATGAAGTGCTGCCCTGCATAAAGCTGTCACACTCCATTTCTCTCATTTCAGTGCTTTTGGTTCCAGTGAAATCACAAAATGAAAGGCAATCTAATCTGCTACTGAAATTCATCAGCATCTACTGATATTCAGATGGTATTTTAAATAGTAATGAATCAAAAATTCAGCAACCCAAAATATTAGGCCGAAACTGCAAAAAAATTCATGTACATGGCCAAAACAGTTTTGGAGGGCCAAAATCATTGACAGAAACGGTTTAATTAGCGTTTCTCCGATGATGTGTTTTGTGTTTTAGTGTCTGTTTCATGCACACAATGTGGATGTGCTACAGCAGTGTAAGCAGTGTGGACACACTTCACCGTGACAAAAAAAATGATGTTAGAGTAGAAATATGTGAAAGTTGTTCAGCTGAAATATTGAGAGGTGGCTCATTGCTGAAGAACTTTACTATGACTGGTTTAATGTATCCCCTGAGAACACGACACCTTGAACAGCATTCGGAGGTCAGTTAACCAGTTATGCAATTTAATTACGGAAACTTTATTTTCGGTTTCAGTTTTTGACTAAATGAACACTTGAATTTAAGTTTCAGTATTTCAGTAAAAAAAAAATATATACAAGACTCATCAATTTGTAAATCTCTTGGTTCTTATTGTGAATTAGAGATTGACAAAAAAATATAACTTGTTTGTTAATGCAAAAAATGAATTTGATTCTATTATGACATAATCTGAGTACTACTACTAATAATAATAATAAATGGCTATATGTACAGTATATATATATATATAATTTTAGTTTCAGTATTTCAGGAAAAAAAACACTTGAAAAACATTTAAATAGTAAATAAATAATTTAAAAATCAAATTTATTTCTTCAAACTTGTGATCTCTGGCACTGAAGGCAAGAGACACTCCACTGAGCCACATCAGCTCATGTTTTGAGTCTGGACTGTGCCCCCCTTAAGACTGAAATCCTAGAATCGCCCCTGACGTAAGCGTCCATCGACCAATGAGAATTTCAGTTGGCTCCAGCTTTCGGAAAACCAGTTTGCTGTATTCCCTCTTGATTTCAGCCTAACACAGCTCTTCCCACACCCTCAACACGGAGCTTACGCATTCATATCCGTCAAACACTCGCTAGTGTGTAGACATCCTAAAATTTCTAGTTTCTCGCCCCGACATGCTCTCGTGCCTGAATGAGAGCAAATCCAGCAATGTTCCAACATCTGTTTGAAAACCTTCCCAAGAGGATGGAAGCTGTGTGGAAAGGACCAGCTCTTTATTAAAGCCAATGGTTTTGAAACTAAAATCTCAACAAGGGTGTGGTATTTGGGCGTCCACATACTTTTGACCAAATAGTGTATTAAATGCACTTCTATCTATATATTTCAGATCTTTGTTAGATTCAGTAGAAGTAAGAGGACGTATTTAACAGTTTCTGTTTGTTCTGTGTGCTTCTACAAGTGTAGGAGGCATTTGGACAGTTATAAGGAAAACTTGCATTTGTGTGGGAAGCCTAGTTTAGCTGATGTGTCATTCTGAGAGAGTGTGATTTACTTCAGAGGCCTTTTACAACCTGTCCAAGGTTTGCCAGTCATAATGATGTGCCAGTGACCTACATATAAGGGACATGATTCTGTTTGCGTCTCTGCATGTTTGAGTCACTGCCACTTCCTATCAGGCCCACGACTGGTGATAAGGGGTTTTCAGATGGTCTGGGAATTTTTCAAAAAAGGCCATTTTGGCCATTAGAGATCACACAATTGGCTATCTGGTTATTTAGTTGCATCATGAGGTTATTAAATGAAAGTGTGACACTTTTTTTGCTGTAGGATACATTAAGGTTCACCCAGATGGTTAGTTTGCCTATTTGTAGACTAACTAGGAATCTCCCACCTTAGACGATAAAAACACTTTTGATTTCAGAATCACAGAAACAAACCCTTGTTTTGCTGACGGAAAAGGTTTCCCAGTTAATTTTACTGTATCAGTTCCAGTCCACGGTGCTACTTATTACCCATCACCCCCCCAACCAACCGGCTTTGCTTCAGCTTGATTGAAAGTCCAGAGCTGCCAATGGGAAAAAGGAACAGCTTGTTTCTCTCTCCCTCAGTGATAAGTCGCCATGGCAACTGAAATGTGGCACAGAGATAGAGTTGCTATGGGTAACTGAGGCTGGTATTTGATTAAGACAATCATTGGCTACTCACTTGACTGTGTGTGCATGCCACGGTGTCTTTGTTAGCTTCAAATTAGAGTGTTGATTTCAATGTATTTAATCCTAGTGAGCTCTGAGTGTTCTGGTAGACCATAATCATGTATAATGAGGTCAGTTTCAGCTTGACTGTACATGTAGGGTGTGTGTGTGTGCCAGTACGTGCAGGTAATTGGAAGCTCTTTGTATAGGATGGTAGACTTCTCCATTGCAACTGAGCTGATTAATGAGGTGTCGGCTGGAGGAGGAATGTTTTCTTCAGAACCTGCTTTAAATTCAGCCAACAGGTCATAACATGCGCTTAAAATTAAGATTGTTTTTGTCATGCATAAGCTAATGTTAGACAGGGAAGTTGGGTCAGTCTGATGACCTGGTTTGCATTATTCTCCTGCCAGGTTCGCAGTCATCGCCTCTGGATGTGCCAGCTGCCCCAGGCTGGTGTGTCGAAGAGAAGGGTGTGGTGCTGAGTTCTGTTACCATTGCAAGCAAGTTTGGCATCCTAACCAGACCTGTGACTCTGCCCGCCAGCAGAGGGCGCTGTCCTTGAGAACGCACAGTAACCACTCACCCAGCTACACGGCCGAGCAGGGACATAGTGAGTATTTAACTACCAATCAACCACTATTTTCTGTCTCACAAACATACAGTGAAGGACAGACTCAAGCCATATCCAAAGACTGTAATATAATTTGGGGTTAGGCTCTTTATACCTGGGCAAGGAGACAACCACATAGCAACGTCCTAGAAACCGCCCAGATCACCCTAGCAAAAACATAGCAATGCCCTAGAAAACACTACTCTTAGATCCCGCTAGTAACCACCTAGCAGCACCCTAGAAATCACCCTCACCTCACATAGCAACAAAAAAAACAGCAAATCCATGGTAACAACACAGAATATCCTAGCAACCTCCTAGTAACACCCTAAAGACCACCAAGAACACCACAGCAACCATCTAGCAGCACTAGAAACCACCCGAACCACCTTAACAACTGCCCTGATCACTGGATCACGTTTTACACATACAAGCGCCATTCACATTTTTATTCAGAAAATGTAGAAATCTAGTACATGTTGTACTGCGGGGCATTAGTGTCTTAGTGCTTGACTGTTTTCTCTGTTAAGTACATATCGCAAAGTGTTTATCACTTCGAAAAAGACTATCACAAATTAGTGGATAAAAATAAACTGTCAAAACTCTAGTGTGCTTGCTTTCTGGTTTATTGTGTTTCAGAGTGCCATCAGCCACTCATACAATTTGATTTGCTGTGTGCTTCCCCCTTGAGCACTTTCGTTTTGTGCACTTCAGTGTTCACTGCAGATTATTGAAGTTTCTCTTTCCCTAAAGGACTGCGCTTTCTCCTCCTCCTCCTCTGAGTTCTCGCTAGTTCCTCTCCTGAATTCCAGCAGGAGTCTGCTAACGTCTCTTATTCCCTGTCTGGCATTCAGAAAGCACTTCCTCAGCACACATTGTTTACAGCAGATACTGTCTGCCTGGACAAATTCTAAATCCCAACCCTTTAATCCCCACTCAGCTGATGACATCAAGCCTTGCCCCCGATGCGGTGCCTACATCATCAAGATGAATGACGGCAGCTGTAATCACATGACCTGTGCTGTGTGCGGCTGTGAGTTCTGCTGGCTCTGTATGAAGGAGATTTCAGACCTGCACTACCTCAGGTACCTTCTGCTACCCATCAGTGGGAATTTCTCAAACGCATTCCTGTTTACATTGGACGCAAGGTGCGAAATGCCAACATTCCCTACAGCGTTACAGTTTAGAAGTTAATACAGAAATCTTTATCACCTGCAATCAGGAACAGAATATCCTTAAAAGGCCTGGGAATTTCCCTCTAGTCAGCCATGTCGCTCAACCAGCTTAATTGCTTTTGATTTTGCCATGATTCTAGAAAATGACTTCCTGGTGTAGGACACCGAGTTGGCATTAAACGTTATTTCCATTATTTTAAGACATTTTGTTCTGTTTCAAAGAATTCATTCAGATTTTGAAGCTTTAGGCTTTTTGCCAGTAGATCAGATCTTTGGTTTTAGCAGATAAAGGCACATTTGTGACCGTGCAGTAACACAGCTGCTGTTTGTCACAGATCCACTCGCACTACGAGGGCAAGAAAACGTCCCATCACAGGAGGAATCTCGCTATCACTGGTGGTGTGGCTCTGTCAATCATCACGGCTCCAGTCATCGCTGCGGTCAGCGTGGGTGAGTATTCCTGAAATAATTTACATTCATATTTACATTTATTCGTTTAGCAGATGCTTTTATTCAAAGCGATTTACAAATGAAGAATGCTGCAAAGCAATTCGTCCTTACAAGATGGTAATGATAATGTTTCAGAGGCAAAAAACAGTGATTTCAATAGGAATCCACATGATTGGGAATTTTGCCTGAAGGCAAAAGATTTACCCACATAGATTTTGCAAAGTTCAAGTTGGTCACACTGACCAAGAGAAATCTGGTTGGTTTGAAAGTGACTTCTGTGTCAGCTGGGCTTCATATATCTGTACACTAATAACAATAGACAATGGACCGTTTTTGTCTGCAAAATTTTGCTAATGTGACCACACTTTAGAAGTGCTACTACACTTGAATGATATAGAAAATGGTCATAGATCACTCGAAAACATTTTTTGCTGCAGATTTTTTTTCTTAATCATGTTGTTTTAGACTTTCTCTCATCTGTTTAACACAAAATGTGAATTTTAGAGAATATTCTAGCCATGTTCATGAATCAGACTGATTTCTTTCTAGTTCAACTCATTGTCTCAGTGATTCAGTCACAGCAAATCAGTGGTCAATTTCTGTCTATCACATAAAGCTATCATATGGCTGTAGAATATGGAATATATGCTGTACAGACTACTTGTATGATTTTATGACACTCATCCTTTGTGAAGCTTAAGCTTCAGTTCCTGTTCATTATAATGGAATCTATAGACAATTGCTTCTGCATTTAGCCTCCGCAACCGCAGCTTCCGGTGTGGAACAATGTATGGAAATTGTGAGAAATTGAAGCACAAAATTAAATCTTGAGGAAGTGTCACAGCAATACTGATGCAATACCACCTATACACTACAAGTATTTAACTCATTAATGGAACTTTATTACTGTAAAGTTATGTTTTAATATACTAAAATGTTATGTTTATTAAACACTGCTGGTCATACATTTGGAGTAATTAAGATTTGTGTAATGTGTTTGAAAGAAATCTCTCCAATGCTCACCAAGGCTGCATTTATTTAATCAAAAATACAGTAAAAGTGTAATATTATGAAAAAAGTTTATGATCCTTCAGAAATCAATATGCTGATTTTATTGAATTGATAATTATTATCAATCATTAATAGCGATCAAATATTAATAACGGTTCTTATTATCAGTGTTGAAAAAAATGAAAGAAAGTTCAAAAGAACAGCATTTATTTGGAGTAGAAATCTTTCTTACTTCAAATTTTGTGGTAGTGTATCATGGTTTCCACAAAAATATTAAGAAGTGCAACTGTTACCAACATTGATAATAATGAGAAATGTTTCCTGAGATCCCAATCAAGCATATTTACTCATTAACTATCCTTTTAACTTCATTTTCAAACCCAGAGATTGACTATAGCTCCAAATCTCTCTCTCTTCCCTGCAGGCATTGGCGTCCCTATCATGTTGGCATATGTGTATGGTGTTGTGCCTATCTCTCTGTGCCGCGGCGGGGGCTGCGGGGTGAGCCGGGGGAAAGGGCGAGGTGTTAGGATAGACTTTGATGAGGATGACGGGCCTATTACAGGTAAAAAAAGATGATTGATCAAGTGTATCATCAGAAAAAAAACTTGGCAGTGCTGATTATTGTATTGAACAATCAATGTAGTTGCTGATGCATGGCGAGCGCTGAAGTCTCCCAGCCTGGGCGAGAGCAGTTTGGAGGGAGGAGCCAGCGGCCTCAGCACCACCTCTCCCAGCGAGGGCTTGTCCGTCGCCCCAGGGGGTCTGGGAGACACGCCCCACTTCAACACACTTGCAGGAGGAGCGCTTGGTGCGAGGACAGGAAAACACAGCAGGTATGAAGGCATGTGGGATGTCAGCAGCAGGGCATGCTGGGTTATTCACTGTACTGTATGGTAAATACACAAGAGCTAATGTTCTTGTTTTCATGGAAACATGTTTATGTTTCAGGCTGGAGGTGCAGGCGACAGAGCTGGGAAAGGAAGGTGCTGGAAGGGAGACGGGCAGCTTGGGAGCGGCCAGTGACTGTGCCAGCACTAGGGGCATGGCAGGATCAATCACTTCCTCTTACACCTTACCTGACAGGTGTGTGAATCACTTTGAATAAAAGCAACTGCTTAACGAATAAATACACAATACTGTTCAATACCGAGTATTTTATCATGTTTTAGAAAAATGTCTCTTATGCTCACCATGTAATTGATCCGTAAAACAGTAATATTGTGAAATATTATTACAGTTCTAAATAAGTCAAGTCAATATAATAAGTCAAAATAAGTCAAGTCAAGTCAAGTCACCTTTATTTATATAGCGCTTTTAACAATACAGATTGTGTCAAAGCAACTGAACAGCATTAATTAGGAAAATAGTGTCAATAATGCAAAATGACAATAGTAAACACAAATTTTTCAGTTAAATAACTATTTTCTCTTTTTTTTAATATATTTTAAAATGTAAAATTACTGTGGTGGCATTAGAGTTTTTTTTAATAGTTTATAATTCATCAGTATCGGATATTTAATCATTCATTCACATTTTTCTTATTTTTACATTTAGATTACCTTTGCTGTCATCTAATAAAATCACACTGTTAAATATATTTAGCAAATCTCAAAATGAAAATCCATTTTTTTTTATTTAGTTTTTGTTTTTAGTGTTTTATTTTTATTGTATTTAGACATATATTAGGACATATAATTATTAGATTTATTTAGACAAAAATATTAGGTTACACTTTATTTTAAGGTGTCCTTGTTACAGTGTAATTATGCATTGAAGTACTGAGTAATATTAATTAACATACTTATTAAAGGGTTAGAGTGAGGATTAGGGTTTGGTTTAGGGTTAGTTAATGTAATTATGCATAATTTATGGTTATTACTATAGTAAGTACATGTAACATGTAACAAGGACACTGTAAAATAAAGTGTTATTTTACATGGTTATTTTATGGTTTTGGCCGTACAATGAAAATAATTATTAGCTTATGTGAATGGGCCAGAATTTTAATATTGGTGCATCCAGACAACAAAATATAAAATTACAGCAGCCTTGATTAAAAACTCCTGGAAGTGATGCTTTGTCTCACATTTTCTGATCTGTTGTGTTTCAGAGAGGGCACTAACCTTGAGATCCAGGTGGACATTGAAACGAAACCGAGCCATTTGGGTCTAACCACTGAAGAGGATCTGGCTCCGCCCACTGCTGCCATGGCTCCCGGCTCAGGGGAGGAGCCTCAGGACTGCAGCTCCCGCAGGAGCAGGGTTGTCATGGATTCCCCTCTGGGCCTGTCGCCTGGGATGTCACTCAGGGAGGGTCTCCGAGATGTCACCCTCGCTCAGCCGGAAAGCATCCGCAGTGACCTAGAGATGTCCGACACGCAGTCGGACGACATCGCAGAGCTAACGTCCGACGACTGCGACTCACCCCACCCCAAGAGCTGCCACGCCGCTCCCCCGCCGCAGACCACCTGCAGAGCATTGAACCCCACCGACAGCCTGCACTGTCCCGACAATGTCATTCTGTACGTGTGAGAGAGACTCTCACCATTGCACAAAGCCAACCGTTTCTGAGCTTTTGACGCTTTACCTCTTCATTTGCTGCTTTTTGTAATTATTAAAACACCTTAATGGCATCCAGACAACTCATGGAACTGAACTCATTGCTCTGCTCGACTGTCCCGTCTGGTTATTACAGACACGGACAGGTCCTCTACCTCTTGAGAAATTCATACTGTTATTCATTGGTTGGTGTTTACTTCTCAGTGTGGAAATGCCTTGATCAAAAAAGCGCTGAATCGGTACTATCGCGACCAGAAGAATTTCCTTAGAAAACAAACAGACAAATAATGTGAAATGTCTCCAAGCACATGTATATGTGAGAGGCTTTCGAGTGGATTGTATATGGATGACACATTACAGTATTGTTTGTATGTTTGTTTTACTCGTTTTTAATATTGACCTGGAAATTGTATGATTCGCCGCATGCTCATTCGCATGCTAGTATTGTTTTGGTCGCACTGGCCCGGTTTGCACAGAAGAATACACACACACACACACACACACTTCAGAGTGAGAGTAAGGTCAGTGCAATGGGAGACTGATCCGAACTTCACTAGCAGACAGTTTCACCTGAATCACTGACTGCCTGCCTTACAGACAGAGCACATGCACTCCGATCCCTTACACTGTCTGTGACTCACTGACAACACTGTTTATGCCCTCTTGAGCGGAGACGTGAGAGATGGATGTATTGTTGATTTTATTGCTAGGTATTAAAATCATATAGTATCAAGAATGGAATTGCCATTCACATGCATGTCTGTTGTTAATAATATTATTTAATTATGATTTTTGGCTGTTTTATCTCTTTCTTAAGCACATGGCTTTTGAATCTTTTTGTTTTGCGCAATTGCATTTTTTTATGTTAATTTTCCCTCTAGCTGGATGGATGGAGAGCGAGTTGGGTTGGATGGATGAGCACTCCTGCACTTTATCCCACTATTTATCATTGTTCTACATTGTAGGCTTATATTTATGCACTTCATTTTTTCTTTTGGAGCTTCTCTGGGAAACATTTGAATGGTGTAGTCATGATTTTGTTATTTAATTTTGTGTGTAATTGTTTTGCATTTTTAACATGCTATGCTTTCGGAATCTCATAATTATCTTTGGCTGCAGAAAGAGAATCATCGGTTTTTACATGTAATGATGGATTAGCTTTGTCTTGTAATCAAATGACTTGTGGTTGTCACATCTTTTGCTTTTTTTGGTGTGAAGATGCTTTTATATTTTCAGTTTTGTGAGCGGATTGTGAAAACTACTTGATAATTTGAACTTTAAACTGGTTATGTATGGTGAAATGAGTGTTAACTAAATTCAGTTACATAAGCAATATGCTGAAAGGAAGGTGTATTAAATCTGGCATTGTTTTGTACATCCCCACAAAGAGAACTGCACTGGCTGTGAGTGTTTGAATCAACATGAAAATAAACATTTCCTCCTTTGTGGCAAGTTTGACTTATTTATTCAACTCTTTTATTTGCATATATGCTAATTGGCTTCTATAGTAGTCTATAATATATACACACTACATTAGCATTACTGCACTGGTATTACATTATAGGTCCAGCTTAAAATCCTAAACACAACAATAAAAAGACCCTCAAGTTCAGTAAAGGCTGAAAGAATGGTTGTAACATCCATGAGAAATGAGGAAAAAAAATTAACTTAAATGATTTTAGCAAATGGCTGCAATATAACAAAGAGTGAAAAATGTAAGGAGGTCTGAATACTTTCCGTACCCACTGTATATTGCTAAATTCATCTGTAAATATTGTAAGTCAAAGTTGTATGCACCTAAGGTATATTGTTATTGTTAAAAACGTACAACAAACTTTTTTTTTAAAGGTTCATTGCATAATTATTATTGTTAACTGAAAATAAAACTTTTAAAAACGTCTATCTACAATAATACCAACGAATAAAGATGAGAAAAGCACATACCAAACTACTAAAACTTATTAAACTATTAAAACGTCTATAGGCTAACTGGAATTAAAATAAAAAACTAAAAACACAAACCTAAGAGCTAACCCAACAATACCATATGAATATATTTATTATATAAATATTACAAAATGAACACTGGTTCTGTCTTCAGTTCAAAATCCAAAAATGTGCCAACACTGCCCCCTACCGTGAGTGCGCGACATCGACGTCACAATGTTTGCAGTAGTGGCGCAAACCAAGCCTGCTTTACGGCAGCTGAGAGGTCGTTCGTGAACTGTGGGCCTGAGGAAGGTTAAAGTGATTCTGAACCGAACGGTCAGTGTTTGTATTTACAATTTGAGAACTTTTGTATCTTTCATGTACTATTAATAAATCTACTAGCTTCAATATAAACCTTTCGCTGTACATACATTACGTTAGAATAAACGCATTCTGCTGTATCGTTATCAGGCCTGCAGTTAGGCTATCCAGTTAGCCTTCTGCAGGACTACGACTATCAGCACAACTTGTTTTATTCTGCGATGAAAATGTAAAACAAGCAAGCCTGCACATGTTAAACGTGGTTTTAACTAACCTGACAGATCGCTTTTTGTTAACGCCCGCTAATGAATATTCTACTAATCAGATACAATAACTCGTTGTTGTATTTCTGTCTTGGTCTTACAATGCTCTTAATTCGCCCTTCCACTAATTAAGGCCTTAAAAAGGTCTAAAATTGGAGCCCAAAGTCTAAAATTAAGTTATGGCACTAACTGTGCCATGTACTGCAAACAAACAAAACAAAAAACGTCTTGTTTTCCAATACAAATGTCTAAACATCCTTAAATCGAGATATATTTACTTGAGATGCAAAATAAAGATAGTAATTATTATTTTTTTTCTTATTCTTATTTATTTATTTTTTATTTTCTGAGAGACTAAACAAAATTAGTTTTATACTTTATACTTAAAGTAGAGTTAGTTTATACTTCAGACAAAAACACACAGGCTTATCTGTCAGCAGGTGTGAAAACGTTTCTCTTTACATTTTTCTGAGCCTATTGGCAAATGTTTGTTCTTGTTTTAATGATAAACTCAATTCATTTTCTCATCAATTTATCAGAAAACACCATACTTGGGACACCATACTTGTCTACATGTCACGTCACTCACATACTCAGGAAAAAAAGTTACACTGACAGAAAAAAAAATCACGTTTTTGCATGTACAGTAAAAGTTATGGTTAGTTATTTCCTTATTCTAGTGGTTGGGAAACAGAAGTATTCTGTCCGTGTGTGTAATTTGTTTGTAAAGGACCGGGACACACCAAGCCGACTTCAAAGAACTAGCGGCGACGAAAGACAACAGTGTCGGACCAAAAAGCTGCGCTCGAACACACTGCACAGACTACAGCCGACGGCAAACTTATGCCCGGTTCAGACTACACGATTTTAGCCCGATTTTGCCATGATTTGCTTGACGTAGGGTGTCGTGGGGATTCGTAAACGACAATGGGCGTCGGGACTAGGAATATGCCGGTATCAAATGTTCATGTTGCGATTAATTGCTAATG